ATGCCCAGCGTAGAAACAGAATGAAAGGCCCCCGGATTCTTTAACTCGCAAAGGAGGTGGAGGAGGGAGGGGATCTTCTCTCTGTTTGCCTCTGAAATCCCGAGGAGATGGTCTTCTAGCTGGACTTCTGCGAGGAGGGGAACAACCTCTCCAGTTATCATAGCTCTTATGACGATCAGAAGAGTGAGGAGAACAAGGAATGGGATCCCGAATGGGTCCATAACCAATCTCCAAAGGTCTGTCAAGTCTCTTCCTAACAGTTTCTGAGGGGGTGTGAGATGGGAGCGCCTTTCTGTCTTCTTTCTTCTGTCGAATAGATTCTAGCCTCTATAGTGTTTGTTGATTGTTGATGTGACTATTCGGTGCATCAAGGCTTGTACTCTTACCGGCTTGGGGGCAATCTTCTTTTTCATGAGACATAGACATGCAGATAAAGCAGTGTTTCTCTATCCTTGTGTACTTAAAGACGATAGATACTTCCACGCCGGATGAGAATTGAATTGTTTTTGTGCTGAAGCGGAGGTTTTAGGCCATCTACTTGAACTTGGACAGAAGCATCTTCAACATCATGATTCTCATCAGTTCCAAGAACATTACCTATGACCTTGAGGTTGTTTGCAGTGCAGCAGTGCGTTGGCAGGGCGAACCTTTAACACGAGTGACCTGGGATACAAACATGGCCCATATAATTTAGGGTCCATTGTAGTTTTCAAAACATTAAAAAAAAATTATGGTAGAGGTCCAATCAGTTTGTAGGAACAATAACGTAAAGTGCCAAGATCAATGTTCAAAAAATCGCTAGGCGGTGGCTAGGCGGGTGATAGGAGACTAGCGCCTAGGCGTTAGCAAAATTTTCGTTAATTTTTATAAATTTTCTATCTATATATCATATTTTTTAAAATGTTTTAATTGTTTTCTTAAAAATTATTTTATCAAAATTTATGTTTGAATAAAAAGTAAGAAAAATTAATAAATAAAATTATAGAATAAAGTTCAACAAAGAAATCAAACTAAAAATCATCAAATTCTTCAAACTAAAATAAGTTTTAATCTAAAAACTTTAAAAATGTAAAGCAAAGAGAAATCTATCTAACTTATTCTTTAAACACGTCCATATCCACCATCTGCTCATTTTTAGACTCAAATTCAAAATCAATAGCTATATCATTTTCATCGTCGGAATCGATATCTCCTCTAAACTCATCGTTAAAATTGAAAGTTGAAACTTGAAACAGAGCACAAACAAAGTAAACAAAGATGAAAAGACAAATTAAGAGAATACAATATAGTTATATAATATATACAGATAGATAAAGAGAAGATTAAACAAACTTGTAGAGTTCAGCAATAGAGAATAATGATCCCTTCTTTAGTTTATGAAGGTAAAGTAGTGGGGAGGAACGAGGATGATTATATTAAGTTATTAACCCTAATCCACGTTTCAAATCTTTTTTTCTCTTTTCTGTAAACCGATGTTGGTTTACTATCCAAAACTGTAAAAATTGACTGAAAAAGATAAAAATAGTTAGTCTGATTTAGCCGATTTTACCGATTTGGTTCGATTTTTCTGATTTTTCCGATTTTTTATTAAACCAGATCTGTTTCACTGATTTTATGAAAATCGGGTCGGCTAACCCCGACTAGCTGCCTAAGCGGCCGCCTAGTCGCCAACTAGACTGATTTTTTGAACACTGGCCAAGATAGTAGGAGCCTAGGACATATTTACGAAGCTTTTTGTCATTTTAACTTTCTTCTTATTATTAGTTTTTAACTGATTTGTAAGTTGTAACGTATATATTTGATTTCAAAGAGTTTTTTAAAATATTTTTGATAGTTGAAAAGTGTTTAATGTTAAATAACAATCACTATTTATAAAAAATATTAATTAATATTCAACGGTTGTTTACTCATCTTTCACCCGTATATATATGGCATCTGTTTTTATTAGTTCACCATATATGGTTTAGAGTAAACAAGCAAAATATATAATATATTCAGATATCACAGATTTAAGTTTTTGAGTAATAAAAAATCTCTTTTTTTATAAGCAGGAGTTCATTAGCATTTGGAAATTGAATAACAACAGGTGTAAATTTGATTCTAATATTTTTTTTTACAAATTCCTAGAATATTATATACGTACATATTTCTTTCTTAATTTTTTTTATTGATAATTTGTCTAATCATAAAATTGTTTTTCTTTTGAAGGTATTTAATAATCAACATTTGGTGCAATTTCAAAGTTCACGGTGGTTTATATTTGACAAATTCATCATCTTCTCATTCCAGGTTCTATTTTCATTCATATTTTTTATTTATTTTGTGGGGTAGATAATTATGGGACAAAACTCAGGCTATAAAAAAAGAAAAGAAAAAGAAAAGGTTGAAAATTTTATTCAATCTCAAAGAGGATCACTTGATAAATTTCTAATTAAAAATTCTCAGGTAGATGATATTGTTAACGATGATAAGGAAGATGAATTAGGAAATGAAAATGAACAAAATGAACCAAATGAAATAAATGATCATGTTTTACTTTTTATACTACGATTTGGTTAAATATTGTAATTTTACTTTATATTTGATTTTATTGTACTAAATTTTCTTTTTAAACTAATAAAAAATTTCTTTTAATTTTTAATTTAAAATTCCAAAAATTGTATATTATAAGACTTATTTTAGTTTAGTAGCATAGAACGCCGGTATGCCGTGGACTCTGACCCAAAAAGGTATCTTTGAAGGAAAGACATCGGAAATAACTGGCTCCCAACGCTGCAAGAAAAATATCCATCTCTTGAAGTGGAATGGAGCTTCGCTAAGGACCGCTTGAAGATCAACTTCACACTTGAAATTGAATTGGAATTTCTCAGGGCCAAGATCTCTCCATTTGATCTTATCCTCCATCCGCCATACTTGCGGCATAAATGAGATCAAATTTTTTGGTTTCTGAATTGCAGGATTCAAAATCCTTCCAATGAGTGTGAGCTTATTGGCTTCAATAAAGTCTGGGTTTGCTTCATCAGGGAATTTGATAGGATGTTCTCGGATCCAACGACGAGATTTCACGAAATCATTCCCCTTCTCTTCTCTGGAATAGTGACGATCCATCTCACCGTGTCGAGCAAGAAAACTGTTCGAATAGATAAGTACAAAAGAACGCAAAAGAGCGTACGGCGTGAGGAGCACGAGGCGAGGAGTGACGGTGGGGAGAGACTTAGAGGGATGACGTGAGGAGGCTCAGAGGAGGCTGGGATGAGTCTCAATCGAAATCGCCCTTAGAAATTCTAGAGAGCGCCATATCTTATACGAGATGAAGATTTAATAACAGATAATTTTTAAAAATATCTAAACTTAAAAGGTAAATTATGCAAAAATAATGATGTAAAATTTTAATCTTTAGAATCGTAATTCTGCAATCTGTAGTCTTCAAAAAAAAGCCACATATATGTAAAAAAATCTAAAAAAGCCAATCTAAAAAAATAAGAGTTTCTTGACAAATAGGGTAGTTTTAAGTTTTTAATTGGCTGAAAGGGTGTATTTTTGGATTCACGTGTATTTTAAGAAGTTTTTGAACAGTGACATTTTTTTAATGGCAAAAGAACCTTCATTAAGAAAAAGAGAGTGTGAGAAAGCGTGTGAGAGGGCGAAGGAAAGTGAAAGAGAGTGAAAGAGAGAGTGACAGAGAGAGTGAGAGAGAGTATGACAGATGAGTAAAAAGTAATGTATTTAAATATTATTATTTTTTCTTTCTTCTTTTTTATATTATTTTTTTTTGAATCAATTATTGTAAATTATTCATAAAAACAAAATATTTAATATTTTTTATATATATTAAAAATATAAAAATCTTTTTTAACACATACTGAAATTTGAATTTTTAAAAACAGACAATATTTTTTTTTTTGCAATATACACAAATCTGAAAGTATTCACCATTTGTTGTACATTCGAAGGTATTTACTCAAAAGTATTCATCATTTTGTGTACAACTAAGTATTCACTCGAAGATATTCATGCGAAAGTATTCATCCCTAGGTATTCACGATTTGGTGTTCATTCATTTAGTGTACACTTGAAGGTATTCACCATTTGGTGTACACCCAAAAATACACTCGAAAGTATTCACCCGAAAATACACTCAGAGGTATTCACCATTAGGTGTATACCTATCAAGTATTCACAGGTATTTTTGATGTTCATTCATTTAGTGTACACATAAAAGTATTCACTATTTAGTGTACATATGAAGGTATTCACTCAAAGATATTTACCATTTGGTGTACACCTATTAAGTATTCACATATAAGGTATTCACTCAAAAATATTTAATATTTGGTATACAATTATCAGTATTCACCATTTTAATGTACGCTTGGAAGTTAGGTGAATACTTTCGATTGAATACAATGAGTGAATTCTTTTAGGTGAATTTCTTTGGATGAATACTTGATATTTGTACACTTGAAAGTCAAGTGAATACTTTCAATTAAATACCATAACTGAAGTATACATGTCTAAATTCTAATATATACATAACTGAAATATATAATAAAATTTTAAATATTATCCGTTTTAAAAAATTCAAATTTTAAAATGTGTAGAAAAAAATCTATATATAGAAAAAAATTTTAAAAGTGAACGAAGTAAATGAGGAAAAAAAAAAAGAGAAAGAGAAAAAAGAAAATAATATTTTATTTTTTTAACGTAAATAAACTAAAGTTAGGAGGATAATATAGATATTAACACACAAAAACTATCCAAACATATCCACTTTTTCAAAACCCACCCTTTTGGCAAATTTAAAATTTAAAACTACATTTTGGCCAATTTTCTCAAAAAATAATCACACAAAAGTTAATCAGAAAAGACATATTTGATCGGAAAGAACGTAAGACTTTTGTTACAAAGAAGTAAAGTATGAAGCATTCAAAATCATAAAATGAAAACTAAAAGATTGATATCGATGTAATTCGTAGATGAGATGGAAAACGAGAAATTAGCAGCAATACGGAAGACCAATAAAAGAGATGGAAAATGCCAACTATAGGTAGACGTTTTATTTGAAAAGAGATGACAAAATACATATATAAATAATGAGGTACAAAAATAGATGGTAATACAGTTTTCATATTTTTTTTTTTCATCAACAACTTGAAGATACATATAATAACATAGAACGAATACACACTTTGTTTTACATATGTAAAGCCAGAAACATAGATACACTAGTGTTGTCTGATAAATTCATATACATATACTATAGATATTACATGATGATGAACAAAAACAAAATGTGATATTTCACTTGGAAGAAAAATGGAGATAGAGAAACAGAAAAAGCAAGACGATCGGAAACACCAGTATAAGTGGAGGAGAAGGAGGAGCCACTGGTCCCATGATCAACGGAACGAACAACAACATTAACGCAACGATCACAATCGCCAAAATCGAACCCATTCCGATTCCACACTCGTTCGCCATTTTCTTTAATCTCTTCTTCAGATTCGTATTTCGGTATTTGTGATTATACAGTTTTCGTATTATTTGTAAAAAATTTCGTTGAATGCTGTCTTCCCAGTCGTACAATTGGTAAAATTATTCCAGCGGTACAACGTATCCGTCACGGTAAAAAGCTACATATCGAACCCATTATATTTTGCATATTTGTTTTTACCAAATTTATTCTCCTTGAGAGTTTTACAATAACATAAATTTGTATATTTAAAAGAAACTGAAGTCTGAAACAAGGGAAATATAAGTAACAGCTAATTTTTTGTTTGAAAAGGAGAAAGGCACACTATGCTTGCCTGACAATGATTTAGTTGAAACTTTAAACTGAGGGAAGAGACAAAGATTGTAGAACATAACACAAAAACCATCATATACCACCATTTTCTTCTAGCTAGATGGCAAACAAACATTTTGCCTCCTGCTGCTTTACATAGTAATTTCAGTTAAGCTACATTTTATATATATGTGACTTTAAGTGCCATTACAAACTCAATGTAAACTGATTTTTTATAAGAAAGGGTGAGAACAAAAGACACTACTTAGTATTGAGAGTGAGAGAGCAAAGATAAACAATTTTTTACCAGACTGATTTTGCAATCATGTTGCGTTGCTTTGGCATCTAATCACAGTTGAAGCAAAGGCAAAGCCATTACAACTCCAACAATCGATACTAGCAACACTATTATCCAACCTGGTAATGCTTCTTTCTTGTTCCTTCTCCTCTTGTTCAATCCCACTTCTTTCGTGTCTTCCTTTCTGAGACCAACGCTTTTCTCTGACTCGTCTCTCGCGTTGTCCTTCTCAGGAGAATCCTCAGGTGTTCTCTGTTGCGTGGCTGTTGCTTCTTCTTCTTTTTCAGCTACTTGTTGCTGACTATACTTCTCTAAATACTCGGGAAATAGTTTCCGAAAAGTTGCACTGCCACAACAGTTCTCTAATCAACTTCTGAGATTTATCCTACACTCAAAACAGTAACAGTTTTTTTTTGGGGTGGGAATGAAACTTACTTTTTACAATTGAAAGCAAGAGATGACTTCGCCAAGAGTTGTTTCTCGGCTACAGTCGTGTTCACGCTTCCAGTTGTGGGACTGTTATCCATCTGTGTACCACAAGATTTTAATTGAGAAACTAAATTTAATGAACGTAAGAACTGAATGGAGTTCTGAAGCTAAGAACAAGGGGTAATAAACTGAGAGGTTCTTCAAGAAGCAAAGGTCTAGAAACAGCAATGAGCTTACCATAAATGAGAGAAGTCCTGTAAGTATGCTGCGTTTAGGAAAAGGAATTGGTTAAATTAGGATCCATTACTCTCTCTCTCTCTCTTTCATTTAGTAACTTGAAAACATTTTGAATGTACTGATCATATACCTTGACACTGACCACATTGGATTCCAGCTTTCTGGATGAACTGTACATACCATGGTAAAGCTTATCAGATAATAGACAAGTTCATTGAAATTTAAAAACAAAAAAGAATGAAAAAGCAGAATGTGCTTACAATCACTCATAGACAAGCAGAGTTTCTTTTGTGTCGCAAATCGACCGTTTGGTGTTGTCATCCTGCAGCCACAAAAAGTTTGGTTCACTTAGAAAGCAGGAATAAAACATAGGAGAGTGTCAATATTAAAATAGAATTCTGAAGAAACAAAGAGCGCACGTGATTCCGGGTGGCTTGTAAGGATATTCTGCAGGGAACTTGATCTTCCCATAGTAGAATCCACCTAACCAAGAGAATCCAAAATATTAGAATCAGATGTTCCTTGGGAATGCAGAAGATCACACTTAATATGCAAGTTAACAAAGAAGATTCAAACCTGCGAAAGGAGTTCCATCACTGCCTTCCAACACATAATCTGTAAGATTAAGAACAACTCATAAGTTTCTTTTATGGTTCTATAAATATAACAAGTCTTCGTCATTTCTGATACCGTTACGGTTTCCCTCACCTTAGCAACACCCTATTCCATACTTGTTTGTATATACACAACGAAGAAACATATGTTCGGTATCTATATACACTAATGTCAACATCCCCATTGCCAAACTTTCAACATAACACCTAGAAAGCAGAGTCAGGGGAAGAAAGACATGAAAGACTTACGCCACTCGAGAATATCATTTGGGGAAGGACGAGCAACAACATGTGAGACTGGTTCCTAGCATTCCATAATAGAACATATCAAATATACTCTCAAAGTAATGTATATAAGATAAAAATTATCCTAGACCAAAAACCATGAAAGCTTTGTACAAGAAGAGAAACCACATTTGAAAAGTCTTTTTGAAATATTTTGATGGGAAAATCAATAGAGAAGAAACTATACCTTGCAAAGTGATCTGTATTCTTTTTGAAGACGCTTTATACAAGCTTTCTCTGCCATCTAAGTGCTTCTGCAAAGAAGAAAAATCCACCTTCGATTATGATATGAAAAAGACAGTGACATAAACATATTTAATTGCTTCATCAGGTCATTTCGACACAGAAATCATCATCCGTAGCCCAAACAGCTTTTTGTGGCATCAACATTTGGCAAAAAAAAGTTCCATGAACAAGCAAGGACAAGAAAACATCACTTGAGGGAAATAAACATGGAGGAATGCATGAACCTATTTTGTCATGTTATATATGTCAACTTGTATTCCTATCCACGTGGTGGAATTACACGAAAATGGAGCTCATAAAAACTAAACACAGGATTATCAAGAACTTGATTTTGAAGTGAAGTCCAAACAATTGAATATACGAAATAAAAAATCTAGAAATGTAATCTACAAGCCATTGACCTATTCCTACTATCTCAAAGACACAAACAAAGGGAATAAGTAATAACTCCTTAATAATCTGTTTCAAAATAAAGATTGATCAAATGATTCCACAAAGAAAAAAAAAAGCAAAAAAGGGTAAAACTTGTGAGAAATTAAAAAGCCTAAGAAAAGAACAAAAAACATCCAGACAAACCGATGGAAATCGTAGAAATCAAAGAATATTCTCTAAAGATCCCCTAAAAACATACCTCCTCGACTCGGAAATTCAATTGATTCAATCGAGAAATTGAATAACGAAAACAGAAATCGCAAAGCCAAATAAAGTTCGATGGAGGCGTGAATAGCGATTGAAGCTTCTGATCTGGGATGACGAAGTAGAAGATCACAGCAAAGAAGATGCAGCGAAGTTATTTGGTGAGTAGATGAGATAAGATCCAAGAGGAAAAGTATGTGAAAAATCGGAATAGATACAAGACCTGGAGCGAATTTTCAATATCTCTCTGGGTTTCTCTCGTTATTAATCATTTGTTTCTCATTTTTCGACGCGGCAGAGAGCAAAGAGAAGGAGAGAGGAAAGAGAGACGGAGGAGAAAGCCTTGTGCTGGTTTTACTTTAACCGAAAAAACAATTGAGCACACGTGCTTGGTCGGTACTGTTTAAATTACGGCATCCTATCCTGGTTTAGACTTTGAAACCCAAGCAAATTGATTTTATTAATAAATATTAAAAAAAAAGAATAAAAAATATTACTCATTGATTTGCTTGAATAAAAAAATCAATTTAATCAAATCAATTTGCTTGAATAAAAATATTACTCAATGATTTACTCATTGATTTTCATACCTGTGTAATTTGCTTGTTGAATAATAAATATTCAATGAGTTCAGAAGTTATTAAATTATTATCGATTTAGTTAGGAAAATTTTAAAAACATTTATAGGTTTCTTTGTCTTATATTTGAGAAGTTCTGAAATCTCCTAAGTTTTACAGATCCAAAGTTGTATTTGAGTTATATATCAATATAAGACGAAATTAGTGAAAAGAGGGTTGAAATTGTTTAGTAAGAGTTAGAGGATTCAATCTATAATAAATGGTGAGGTAAAACTTGATCGAACATTGCAAAAGTATGCGATTTGATGAAGTATTTTGACAAAAACGTGACTAAATTCTTAGATGAAAAATTTAGAAATATGTTTCATTTCGGTATTGGTTTACAAAATAGTAAAATTATTTAAAACATATTCAATTTGGTTTGGTAAAGTTAAAATATTGTTTGGTTTACGGTATATCGGTTTAATAAAAATCAAAGCCATATATGCAATTCAGTTTGGTTTAACTTTTTTTTTTTTAAATTCCATAATTTTCATTACAAAAAAAAGAAATCGCTGTATAACAAACACATTTGCTTTCGAGAAATAGCATTCTCTGCATTATTAAAGTAGACAGTAACAGAGTATAAATGAATGTTATTCTGCTCATCAAGAACTTTTGTTCCAGTTGCCACATTCCACCAAAAATGCAATAATGCAAATGACACAAGTCCGACATATATACATATTTTATCTCGAAGGAATAAAGAAACAACAACTGACATAAATAAAGAGCAAAGGAAGAGGAGGATACATAGGTACCATTTTGACAATCTCAACTTGATGAACTATATAATCAATGTCTTGTAAGAGTCATAAACAAAAACAAAATGCTTAGTAAGTGAAAATCTTCCTAAGAAACTCTCTACTCTTTACATACAAATCTGCGTACGCAAAACTCGTTTCGATTTTCTTAGGTTTTAGCGTGTCCATCTTATGAAAAAATACAAAATGACAAGCGTTGCGATCATACCGGCGTATTTGATCCAAGTGTCCACACGATTACGCCTCTCAATGAGCCTCAATACCGAGTTTGAGAGCCCTACCGTGTTCAAAACATCCAAAGCTTTACGCTGTGCACTCTGAGAAACCAAAACAAAACCAATGTCAGAAACCGTTCCAAGCTAAAGCTTGTGGCTTCGATTAGAGTTTTACCTTGAAACGATCCCTTTGTTCAGCGTATTTGGAGAGTATAGCAACTCCACTTGAAAACGAATCTTCGAGCATTCTCTTTGAGTTCTTCACAGAGTTCATTGCTTGAGCTTCCTCATCGAATATTTGTAGAATGTGGGCTCCTTCTCCGCTCGCTCTTCCCAACAAATCCGCCTTCTCTTTAGCTTCCAACATCTTTCTCTGGTTCCTCGACATGTGTTTTTCCAGACTTTGGTTCAAATACTCCGCCTCCTCTCCCACTTGTTCAGTCTTTCTGCGAATTCAACATAACAGATTGATGGAGAAGAAACTACTCTCAACTTTTAAGCACTACTTAAGAAGTTCATAAACCAAAGAAGGAATATGTATTCAGCCATTTGGATGATCTATGAAAATGTGTAAATTTGCAACTTTCCAGGCATGTCAGATCATCAATAATGGTAAAATTCAATGCAACGTTTAAGCACTACTTAAAAAGTTCATAAACCAAAGAAGGAATATGTATTCAGCCATTTGGATGATTTATGAAAATGTGTAAATTTGCAACTTCCCAGGCATCTCAGATCAATGCAGCGTTTAAGCACTACTTAAGAAGTTCATAAACCAAAGAGGGAATATGTATTCAGCTATTTGGATGATCTCTGAAAATGTGTGTAAACTTGGAACTTTCCAGGCATCTCAGATCACCAATCAATAACTTTAATCTCTTGAAAAATCAAGATTTTGAGAAGAAGCAAATCAAGAATTCAAAAACAGGGATTTGTACTGACCTTCTCCAGAGATCACGTTGGGATTTGACAGGGATTGAGCGCCAGAGAGCGTCCATGTTGGAGCAGAGAGATTGGAGCTCAGTAATGTCTCGTTTCACGGAAGACGCTAGCTCGGGAGAATCCATAGGAGCTGACTCGAACCTCTCAACTCCGTAACGAGTCCTAAGTAGAATCTTTTTCGCATTACTATAAACCTCGGACAAGCCTCCGCCTCCTCCCATTGTCCCAGACGCCATTATAGCACAAGAAGACGACCCAGAAACTGCTGTAATCGAAAACCAGATGATCAAGAATTTGATTGCAAAATCAAGCTTATAATGTACCTATTACCTCAAGACAAAATACAAAGAGGCAAACTCTTTAAAAGATAAGTAAAACTTGAATCAAAGCAACATTCAAAAAATTTGCCGTAAACCGATGCGATTATGACAAAAAATACACATCGACACAAATCACTCGAAACAGAATCAGCAATTCGATCAAATTCCGAGAAATTTTGAAGATTCCTCTAGGAAATACCTCGAATCAGAGATTAAATTGAATCGATCGGCTATGTGAAAATGAAGAAACCATAAAAAGCAACATCAATCTAATGAGTTAAATCTAAGGATAGCCTAAGAAACTCATCCGCGTACCAGTTCGATGGAGGCGTGAATTGCGATTAAAGCCTCGCTTTGGATAACGAAGCAAATGCAGCGAATTCAATCAATGAGATCAGATCCAAGTACAATTTTTGAAAATCGGAATAGATCAGAGAGAATTTCAGCGAGGGAGGAGATAATCTCTATCTCAGGGTTTCTCGATTTTGATCATCTTCTCACAGAGAGGAAAGAGAGAGGAAGGAGCAAGGGGCTGGTTTTACTTTAAACCGGAAAATAAAAACAATTGAACGTGCTTGGCCGGTTCTGTATAATTAGCCCGGTTCGGTATCTATTTATAAACAGTTGACTAAACAAGTAAACAAACAGTAAAGAGAAATTGAGACTAATTTAGCTACTCAGTAAGTCACTTAATTAAGTCTTTTGGCATCCAGATATGGCATCTATTTTTCAATTGATGAAAGTCCCAAATATTTGACTTTATTTTTCTATTATTCTTCTGAGAGAAAATATTAAAAATGAAATAATAATGTTGGTTATTACTAATTAGTAATTAGCATAGAGACAAAACCCAACTGTTAATGTTGTTTTATCTGCAACTTTTCCTCTCATGAAGTTGGACTTGCTGACTTGCCAATATTAGTAAAACACTAAACATATTATTTTTCATGGCTAATACATAAACAATAACGTGGATACATGTGCTTGTGTAAAAATGTCAGGACTCTTATTAGTGAATGTTCTATAAATTAGTAGATTAAGATAAATATCTCAACATCTGAAAAAAGTTTCACGTGATCAGATCTCAAAAAGTCACAAGAACAATACATATCCTACAAAGCAACCAACCTTTACAACTTGTCTTTCTCCATCTCTCTCTCTTTTTCCTTTAACTCAAACATCTCTACCCAAAAGTTTCTCAAGAAGCAATAGACCAAAAGGAGAATTCACTAATGAAGAGATTCCTTCCATCAAGATCGATCTCAGTAGCTCTGCTTCTGATTTTGTTAGCTATCTTTAGCAGCAAGTTTCACATAGAGGCACACAGAGATTTGAGAGATTTGCAAATAAGCAAGGAGATACCTCTTGGAGGAAGCTTACGAAGAATCCCAAGAAGTTGGTCCAGTCCTATACAGAACAAGTTAGTGAACTGCTAACACAATCAAATTTTCAATCATTTACACAAACCCAAATCGTTTTGTTAGATGTAATTTGACATCAACATTGTGTAATTGTTTTTTGTACCAGGAGAGACCCATGTAGGAAACAGAAGATCACATCAAGAGAACCATAGATCTCTCTTCTTCTTCTTTTTTGAACTTAGATTTTCTGAGTTTATTTTTGTTTTTTTTGTTGTAGACTAGTATTCCTTCACAATTAATTTGTGAATGATGCAATGTAGAGTTTGTTACTGTTCTTACTGGAGAGTCTTACTCTGCCACTGTTTTTATTTGAGCCATGGATCTTTGCTTAATGTTTAGACCTCTAACGAGTGTTTATTGAATTTTGTAGGATTTAAATCATTTTCATATGTCTGTATATTTACTTGAGTTCTAATATGGACATGTGTAATAGCAACTGTGGAACTAAATCCTGAAAACTTCCCATGTTTATCAAGATCATTGAATATTAGAATAACTCATTAACTCTACATATCAAAAACCCAATTGAAGGTATATATGAAGAAAATCCTGGAACAAGATATCCTGCTCATAAATGCTAGACTTGCATACCGATCAAATAAAGAAGTCCAAGAAAGATGCTTTGTGTTGCTTTGAGACTGATAAAGTGGATAGTCAGGTGTTGCTGTTAATTGATCTCAAACTATAGATTTGAGACATGAAACAAACTTGCAATCTTTAGAGAGAAACTATATATTGCAACTTGGAGTGTCTGTGTGTCAGAACAGCCATGGGATAGCTTCTGAGTATAACTTTCTAATAGAAATTGTGTAATTATGTATTATTGTAGAAATTTCACTAGAACACAAAGAGAAACCTAATAGGAACAAAAATAACATTTCTACAAGGAGATTTAGGGTTTATAAGTTTACTCCCAACCAGAAGAAGCTCGAGCAGCAGCTTGGTATGTCATAGATGTGTCCCATCCATCTGTTGCTGGAACATCGAAAATTGCAAAACAGAACAAAAAATTCACCATAAATGAGTTACAAAAACATTAACATAGAAATCAACAAAAGTTGGGTTTTATTAGGTTTGAGCCTTACAAACACATTTAAAGCCTAAAGATAAAACTCATCTCCAAAAGCTAGCTTGTAAGGTGAAGAAGTCTTTGAACTTGTAAACCATGTGTTATTTCTTCCCCTTTGTAATGTTAGACATTTTAACTTTGTTATTTTGTCTTTTTCCTCCATATAAAGGTTTATTCAATCTTACCATTTGCATCAGTCCAAGAATGGTCTCCTCCATATTCAGGAGCAGGCAAAAATCCAACCAAAATTAGGATGTGGATAGCGTAAATACAACTAAACAAATCGTTTTTGCTATTGATTTCTCGTGCTATTTTCTAAAAAAAAATCCGTATTTGAAAAGCTTTTGAATTATTGTCTTAAAGTTACTTATTGTTTGCAAATTGAATTCAACGAATGTAACAAATACAAGTTTCATCGATGTTTAGTTTCTTTTGGAGTTGAAGATTTTCATTAATTGTTTTAGGTATGTATTTATAAGAGCATCTCCAAGAGACATTTCATATCTTCAAATTTTTGAAGTTTTATGAACTCTAAAAGAGACTTAAAATCTTCAAATTTTGAAGATCTGAACAGTGACACTCTATATTTGAAGTTTTATTATTCAGATCTTCGAATTTGAAAATTCATCTTTTCTATTGCATTTTGGTCCTTCTAATTAACTATTTTTATAAATAATGTCTTTATTTATGTTTCTTTATCATTTTAATTTTATAATATATCTGATAATTATTTCATATATATTTTTTATAATTGTAATTTCAAATTAAAGAAAACAACTTCAAATTAAAACATCACATAAAAACATTACAAAAAATAAACTACAAATACATATAAATATAACATAATATTCTTATACAGATTTATTAATACAACATAAAGTTCTTAAAAAAAAATTACAAGCACACATAAATATTACACAAATTAAAATACTACAACAGTACTAATAATCAGGCAAATTTGATCCTGAACCTCCAAGACCACCAAAATATTGTCCATATATATTTGGAGTTGGAAGTTGTTATTGTTCTTGAGTTCTTTTTTGTCACTTCGAAAGACATTGATTGATCATATATGGGAGTATTACGGAAACAATGTTAGTGAATAATTTAGTATTCTATTTTGCTATTTCTAATTATGTTTGTGTGTTTTTTATAATATTAATGATGTTTAATTAATTAATATTATCTGTAATTTTTTAATATGTGTTTTATTGTTATTTATATTATTTAATGAGTTTAGTTAATTATTCTAAAAAGTAAGGACTATAATGCAAAGTATAAAGTTTTTGAAGTTTATTTTGAAGTGTCACTCTTGGAGAGAAACAGCTAAAATTTCAAATTTGAAGTCTCTGGATCTTCAAAAATGAAGTCTCTCTTGGAGATGCTCTAAGGTTCTTGTGTACGAGTTACAGTGGAAACTGATGATGGAATATACGTTTTTTTTTTGTCAACGATGGAATATACGTTTTTTGATTGACAAAATTGATGGAGAAAGATTTTTTTTTTTTGTTTTGTTAATGCTTGCATCAAATGATCAAAGTCATCAAGAATAAATTGAATTGGTTTTATAATGCTAATTAAATTAGAATTTGTCCCCTTAATTTTTTTTTTAAATTGTCCTTATAATGTTTTATTGAAATTTTTTCTCATTATGCCCATTAATTTTGAATTATTTAATTAATTAAATTTCTATATTAATAATATTTTATACTTAAAAAATATCTGTAGAAAAGAGATTCTACATCCCCATCCACACATTCTCTTTCTTCTCCATCGACATCATCGACACAGACTCCTCCACTTACACAGTTTTCGCCGGAAAATCAAATTCCGGTAAATACACAATCTACACAGTCTATACAGTCTTTTTCATTCGCCTGTCTTCTTCGTTATCATTCAGTTTCGAGTTTACCATATTTGATGCAGTAGATATATAAACCTAGGGAAAATCTGCTTGATCAATGAGAAAAAAGAAGAAAAGAACGATGACAACCAAAAAAAAAACGTCAAAACTGATAAAAAATGTTGAAAAGTAAAAAAAAAAAGATTTTCGAAAATTTTAAGATCTGGATGTTAACTAATTTTCCTAGATTTTCTTAGATTTTGGTAGAAGATGTATTCTACGGTAATGTAGAATGAAGTCTAACAGGTAGAAGATGCATTCTATGTTAATGTAGAATAAAGTCTAACAAGTAGAAGAACCGTTCTACAATAACTTAGAACCTGGTCTAACAGGTAGAAGATGTATTCTACTAACATGTAGAATATAGTTTATCCAGTAGAAGTTGTAATCTACCAATCGATAGAATATATAAAGACCTATAGAAAACGACTTCTACAAACTGGTAGAATATGTGAAGAACTATAGAAATGAGATTCTACGTAAACGTAGAACATAGAACATACATTCTATCAAGCGTAGAACGAATTTTAAAAATATTATAAAAATATTTTTTTCCATAAATGATATACGAAAATATTTTTAATTTCTTTTTAGATAATTTCGAAATTTTTAAAATATAGTTTCATATTTATATTTTATTATAACTGCCATAACTAATTCAAAAGGACAATTATGTCAAAAAGTGACAAAAAATAGAAAACATTAAAAGGACAAATTTTAATTCAATTGACATTATAAAACCAATTCTCCCAATAAATTATAGTATACTTGTTCTTTTGAAATACATCGTCCTATAAGTTTGTATTTTTCTAGTATAAATATGCTTTTGTATTTGTTGTTCTTAAAATAATAAACTACTCGTAAAAATATACTTACACCCTAAATAAAAGGTTAATTAATCTTAGAAACGCAATATCATCTGTAAATAAAAATTTAATATCATTTGGTTTAACATAGCATGTCCGTTATTCATAGAAACGCATTTTCTTGCCCACATTAGTAAATTAATAATAAGAAGAAGAAAAAACATCTTTAACAAAAAAAAAAAGAAGAAGAAAAAACATGAACATTATTAATTACATGAACAATTAAATACCCCAAAAAAAGAGTCAACAGGTCAAAGAGACTGTTTCATGCAAATTAGACATTTCTAAATTTTCACTAAAAAAGTAAAAACACAAAAAGAAAGCGTCAGAGCCGTTACCGAGCAGCATGATTCTCAACCTCCACCACCTCACCGTCACCGTCGCCGATCGCCGCCGCTTCAGCAACCAACAGATCCAACGGTGCACATTCCATCTTATGCTTCGCTCTCCAATCCAACGCCTGACATCCTCTAGAGCAATAATTCACTTTTCCACAAACAGAACATCGCCGGAACTCATGCCACCGAGTCTCCGGCCTCCCGCATCCGCCGTGAGAACACATCCTTAACCCATCCAGTAAAACAACCCGACCCGAATCAAACCAATCTTTCAAAAACCGGTTCACTGGGTGAATCTCCTGAACCGGTACTCCTCCTACTCCGCCGCCGACGCTGCAGGCGAGATCGGTTAGTTTTTCGTTACCGGATTTGTGAGAGAGGTAAGCGCGTAGAGAGCAAGCGAGCTCTCTCGCGTTGGCCTGAATCAAAACCCGACGACCTTCGGAGACGTCGCGAGAAACGCCGTAACCGTCTTGGAGGCAGTGACCGAGTTCCCGGAGCGCATCCACGTGGCCGAGATAAGCCGACCGCGCGCATAGCGCGACTCCAGCGCGTAGGTTCTTATCGGATTTGGTACCGCCGCTTCCGTTAAACTGAATCACCGACAACGAGTACAGTGCCGGCGCGTGAGACTTAATCGCGGCTCTCGCCATCAGAGACGCGCCGCTCACTGGGTTTTGAAGACAGTAAAATCGGATCTGTGCAGAGAAAAAGAAAAAAAATAAAGAAGATGAAATCGGAATCGAAGAGATGGATGAAGGTTGAAGAAGACGGACCATTCCGAGAGCGTAGCAGGCGTCGATGTTTCCGGCATTAACGCAGAGTCTAAGGAATTTGTGAGCGGAATCGGACCATTTCGCCGCCGTGACGGCTAGGGTTTGAGTTCCGGCTCTGGATAAAACCAGAGGATGCAAGCCCAATCGATTCAATCTCTTGCATCTGAAACGACAACCGTCAAAGTAAATTAGTCGGAATCGAGGAGATGAATCGGCGGCGGAGGGAGAGAAGGCGGCTTACGTGAAGAGAACGGTGAGGAAATCGGCGGGAGAAGAAGCGGAGGAGCTGAGTTTTTGGAGGATAGAGATGACGAGATCGTCGGGTAAGTCGTCGAAGAGGTTGACCGTGAGATTCTCCAGCCTGGGTTTCTTGTTTAGATGCGTCGTCATCGGAAAAATGGCAAAACTCGTTGAAGGAGGAAGAAGAAGAGAAGATTTGATTATTTTTTGTTTGTTTGTTGGTTTATGTTGAAAACTGAGAGTAGAGAGAAAAAAGCGAGAGGAGGAAGAAGAAGATGTGTGTTTGCATTTATAGACACACAGAAATACACTCGTGATATATGAGAGAAACTGTTTTCGCTATAAGGTCGTGGCATTTTTTTTATTTTTTTTTAAATCTATCGAAAAATGAGGTCAGAGGGTAAGCGTAATTAGATTTTTTGAAACTTAAATAGGAAATTAACCCATAAACAAGAGAATATTTTCATACTTTTTTAAAATATAATTGCCCAAAAATACAGTTTTTCAAAATGGTGGACTTATTTTATTTTATTCTTTTTTTATTTTTATTTTATTTTTATTCCTTTTTTATTTTTTAACTTTATATTTATATAGTTACATCCATCTATAATATATACACATAAATATACATATATATTTATATAATATGTATATTTATATAATTGTGTCTATATATGTAACCATATAGATATATATGTAAATATATTTGTGTATCTCTACTCTAGGTAGGTGGATATACATATATATATATAACTACATAGATATCTATATATTTGTGTCCACGTAAATGCAAATATATAGATACATATGTGTTTATCACTAAACGATAAAATAATTTAAGTTAAAAAATATAAAATGGGTATCAAAGTATTAAGAAAAAAAAATTATATAATTTATAGTTTCAAAATAATTATTCAATTATTTTTAAATAATAAATAAATAACAACAAACAATTATAATAGGTGTGTGAGAAAAAAGAGGCAAAAGGCAGTCATTTGTCTCAATTAAATAGAAAAAAAATATGTCTTTTCGTAATTAAAATTTAGAAGTACATATTTTAGACATTATACTTTCAAAACGTACACCTAATGATATCACACTTCATAAACAACGAAACATATAAAAACACTGATATTTGTAGGGATCAACTGTTACAGGGAGTGTATTCAACCAACCATTTAAAGTGATTGATTTGTGTTAAAATAACAACTTGTATGTTATTCAAATATAGATTTTACATTTTTATTTTTAAAATCTAGCTTTATTGATTATAAGACTTATAAATATCTTTTAAATTTTAATATTAATGAATTAGTGATTTAATGAATATCTTCAAATCCATTATTATTGAAAATATTTTTAAGTATTTAAATTGTAACGATATAAAATTTTTTTGGAGAACTTCTTAGTTAAAAATACGAATATTTAAATCTTATGACTTAAGTGAGGTTATAGATAATTATAAAAACAAAGAAAATTTCCTTAAATTCACCCAAATCATTCAAAACCTCATTTAAACTCAAATCAATTTAAATGTTTGATTAATATACACCTTAAATCAAGGATCATTTTGCCAATGAAAGGACCAAAAAAGAATTATATTGAACAAAGAAAAAATGTTGTGATAAAAATAAATGCACAATGTATCTATTTTGTAAGTAGAATAATTGAAACTTATGTGAGTAAGTCGATCAAATTTCAACATATGTAAAATAATTAATTTTTATTTTTGTTCTTTTTATACATGTTATAAAATTAAATTAAACTAGAAATTAACCTGCGTTATAGCGGGGTAAATTTTTTTCATCTTCAATTAAATGAAATTATTTTAAAAAACTATTTATTGGTATAAACTTTACAGATTATAGTGTATATTATTCTTTTCTTTTTTAATTCTAAAAAAATGAGTTGAGGTGTTAGATATTATTGGTTTTATCTGAATTGAAAACACATAATCATTGATTATTATGTGTGAAACGTTGTAAATATATGTTTATTATTTGTAAGACCCAAAACTCATCTTACAAATCAAGAATTGGATATTTTCAGATAAAAGTAAAACAAATTTGATTGACAATAAAAAAAAGTCTTGAAAAATTTCAGAAAGAGAGTGTCTAAATACAAAAAAAAACAAAAATATTTTTATTTTGTTGTGGATTTCTTCCTTGCAATCTCTTAATCAGGAATCCAATCCTTACTTGGAGTCTATTTCGATTTTGCTTACTGATTTCTATCTTTTTGCAAATCATCTTTTTTATATTGCTGTAATATTATTTTCTAATAAGAAGCACTGACATATTTATTAACATATTTTTAAGGTGTTTAACTAATTTTTCTAAGTCCTGCTATACACATGAATGTGTTGTGTTAAATTCTAATTTTATTAAAACGCATTTATTTTGTTGTTATGATTTATGTATTAAGAATTTCAGGTTAAATTTCTCTCCTATATTTTCCACTATCTTTATATTTAATTGATGTTTCTACATTTATAAAGTTTATTTATATAATATCTTACACGAAGGTTCATTTATATAAAATAATTTATGTAATATTTTACAAATAAATATTCATTTATATAAATGACTACTTCAATAATAGTATAGAGATTTTTGCATATACATGAGTTTTAATCTAGTTGTATACTAAAGCTATTTAAATTGTTTTTTATTCAACAAGATGTTAGTAAAAAACAAACATTTTAGTTATTTTCAAACCAAAGATAATTTTAATATACATATTAGATTTTAAGTATTACAAATATTAGATAAGATCATAAAATACAATAAATGGATAAAGATGAAACTTAATTCATAAGATAAAGAAAATTTGAACTAAGGATTTAGTTATTAATTATCATTAAATTTTCAAATATAATACCAAAAGATGACATAAACCTTTTTTATAACATACAGTTAAATTAAAGAACAAACTCTAAGATTGATTCGGAGGAAAACGTCAAAAGACTGCCTCTTTTGGGTGAGAAGAAACCATTCAACCTGTTGTTTCCCAAAAACATAATATGAAAACGACAAAGTTTTCCACAACTGTTGTGCTTCATGACTAAAGAGAAGCAGAAAACGTATCATCTTTCAAGTGAGTTGACAAAATTACATGGTAACACATTAAACCATGTTGTTCTATATTGGACAAACAAATCTTGGAGATTCAACAACTTTAGCATGCAATACAACATTTAGAAAAGAAAAAAAAAATAACGTGGTAACAAGATTCTCACACACAATTTGGGTTTGCAATTTTAACGCAAAAATCACAATTTCCAAGAACCAATATTACAATACAAAACATGACTTTTGTGATTACGACTCAAACTTCAGCTTCTTCATTCCTACTAACTAAATTCACAATTCTTAGTATCTATACCAAATATATTTTCAGCTATTATATAGTGGAGATTCAGGGCTTTCACATAATATTGTGATTGTACCGTAAAATGACAATTCCATGAATCTTACCCAAAATTGTTATTGTGAAGTAAACTTGCAATTTCATGATACTAATGTTAAATTGTGCTTCTAAAACTTTAATACAAATTCCAATGTTTTGACAATAAATCTCGATTGTTAAATTAATACAAACTTTGTGATCATTTGATTTTTGTTATATTAACACAAAATTTGTGATTATGTGATTTTGACGCAAAATATTGGTTTTATGATCCTAATGCACACTTGAGTAAATCCTTTTTAAAAGTAAATACCAATTAAAATAAGATTTGTTTTTGTTTTACAACAACATGCATTGTTCATATAGGCTAAATGTACTGATTGAAATAAAACTTAAAATGTCTAATTAAAATGATTAATAATGCTCTTTAATAGAGAAATATAAATGCATTTTCAAAAAAAAAAATGTGTAACTAAAATTGTACACAGCAATTTAATCCGCTTTGTAATGGTTTTATTATCATCTGCTTGTGTAAAGTGTAAACTACTTCTTCGATTCATCATACCACTATCATCAAATCACAAAGCCATTCAAAACCTAAACGATAAGTATAACGCGACCATCCTAATAAACGGTTTATTTAAAAAAGCTAGAGTGTTGTAATTGACTTTGGTCAAAAAAATTGATATCCCAAGTTGGCTTTGGAAGCAATCATCAACAAGCAAAGGTGAAGAAGGACACATAAGTACGGAAGACTGAAAAATCATGTGGCCGTCACATACGAACACATTTGGTTGGTCACCGTTTAATTGTAAGCAAAGTTACTAAACCCGTTTTCATTTGTTGTTTTTTCCCTACAATTATCTAGTTTTTGGAGTGAACTTGTAGAAAAGGGCATCTTAATCATTACCTATGGGTGTCGGCCAAGAAAACAATATAAACCTTTTACTAAGGTTATCCATTCAGATAAGAATATATGGAGGAATATGATATTATTTATTTAATATATAAACTGTGAATGTATTAGTCAGAGTTAAGGGTACAAATAGTCTAAATCGATGGAGTATGACATAAACCTCAAGTTTATAGTGCTAAATATAGCATATTTGAGAGGCATGTAGTAGGACTTGAACAATTTATTTTCCTATTCCTAGTGGAACCAAGTTTTGAATCAGTATGTACATATAATAATTACGGATTTGTTTTATTTATTCAAAACTAATTTTTAAAATATCCTAAACACGGGTATTTAGCTCAGTACTTACGTTTTTCTCTAACTTTTGATTTTATTCTTGTATTCCCGCAAATTCTTAACTATCATTGACTCTGAAATATTACACTGGGATTATTTTTGATAAAAATTCTTAGACATCTATTAGTTTTTTCTTTTGATAATTAACCAAAACGTTTTCGATCTTTGGTCCATATGTGTCCTTGGACGAATAAAGACCAACCTTTGATAATCCTTGTGGCAAACCTACAAGCTTTAATCATCTCTTTTCTAAGTGTAGTACTAAGTTCGTGAATTTGAGTTCGGTAACAGTTTTAGAACCCGCCTAACCAGTTGAGTTAACCGCACTTGGGTAATACATTTACTAATATCGATAAATGACAGATTTGGATTTTTGTGGTGTGTTTATTGGAACATCATCCTTATCTAGATGCAGCATGCATCCTCAATAAGAACACGCATAGTCCAAGTTGAGAGACAAGCAGGGGAAAAAGAGTTTTGCAAAACAAGTTACCAATCAGCTAAGTAAGATACTTTTTTTCTTTGTAGGACCATTGATGATAAGCAACAAACTATTCCAATATATTCGATCATTTTCTAATAATAATAATGATAACAAAAAAAGATATTTATTAAATTGGTTGCCATGAAA